TAAGTTGTAGGCATTTTTAGCTTCGGCTTCTTCAGCCTCTCTTACAATTATTTCATGGCATAAGAACCCCCTAAAGCCTTATTTCTTCCTATACCGGGCATGTTTGTCAGCACCATGTCCTCGTAAAGTCAATCTTTTATTTTTCTTTATACCCCGTTTTCTCTAAACATGGTTTTTCTATGGAATAATTTTTAAATAAGTCCACCATTTTTCATCCAATCTTCATCTGAAATGCCAACCAGTACGATTTTACATATTTTAGTATGATTTTTTGCCGAAAATACGTGAATACGACTTTTCATGAAAAAATACGCATCCTGGAATGCGAACAATACGAGATTCAGCATGGGCGAGTAAACCTAATTAGATCTATCTCAAGTCCCATCTTTTGTCAAAATAGTACCAGTATCGCAGAACTGGAATATTTGAAAACTATGTCCGAAAAGGTCTGTAAGTTCATTTTTGCCGGTCGCGATTGTGTTATTATATTATTCGTTCAGCTTTTCCCCGTCTGAGAGTACGTTTCACTTCCACGCGAACTAGCGGCAGGCGGAAGTGTAGACGAATCTATGTGACACCAAGGCTTGTTCGGGAAAGTCAAGATTTACTTTCACTTTCGCTACCACCGAGAAGTCTGCCAGCGGTGAAGGCAATGCCAGAGGACAAAAACTTGGAAGCAAATTTCAGAATTTTGATTAGAGCTCTCTGCAAAGGGTGCGTTGGTGCAGACCGTGTGCGGAATCGGGACCCTTCATACTTTGGAAGTCTGTGTTATTGAAATAAAGTGTTCGCGTTTCAGTTTAATTGGATGGGTGATAGTAAATTATACCTACAGTATATGTTGTAGCTTTCTGTTCAAGACTGGCAGATTTTCAGTGTCACTGCATCTCGCCCTCCCACAATTGTTACAACTCTCACACTGAATAGGTCTACTTGAGCCATTCAAATTATTGCTCTTCTCTGAATTTGAGCAATAATTTTAGTCTGTCAGTTCATAATAAGACAAGATAAGATAAGATATTACTTTATTATCCCAGAGGGAAATTTTCCTTGGCTGTACAGGACAGTAAAAACACATGCAGGTATACATTTTTTTAAAAGTTAAATCATATATATTACTCTTATTAAAATTCAATATGAAATGAGAAGTAAAGCTGACAAAATGTACATTTACATCAAATGTATCATTCAACCACATGCATGAATTTAAATACTAGACCTTTGGAGTTATATACAGATACATACTCTAAGAGCAACCTCGTTCTGACAAAAGCCTTATGCTAGATGGTAAAAAACTTCTTTTATATATCTTTTTCTTTGTTTTTGGAGGTACATATCTGCCGCTGCGTGATCTTACAATTTGTGTGGAAAAGGGGTGTAACGGGTCGTTTATAATGCTTTTTATCTTTTTTATACGTGTGGTATTATACATTTCATCCATTCTTATAAAATCATATCCAGAGATCTTGCTGGCTTTCTTAATGGTTCTGTCAAATTTTTCTTTATCTTTCACCTTACAATTCCCACCCCAGCAGCAAATACAAAATAATAGCACACTTTCAATCATAGAATGGTAAAAAAGGGACATAATCTTATTGTCAACACGGAAACTTCTTAATTTCCTTAAGAGATTTACTTTTTTATGCACAAGAGCAGCGTGGGGATGCCAGTCAAGTTTGTGGTCAATTGTTACACCAAGATACTTGTAAGAACTTACCACCTCCACCTCTTCATCTTTAATAAATAGTGGTTGCAATTGGTCTTTTTTTACTCTAAAATCTATTATTAATTCCTTTGACTTTTTTACGTTTTGTATAAGGAAGTGGTTATCACACCAATTTGTAAATAGATTCACAGCGTCCCTGTATTCATTCTCATTTGTTGTTATAAGGCCTTGTAAAGTGGAATCATCCGCAAATTTTATTAGTTTGATGTTTTTGTTATCAAAAGTACAGTCGTTGGTGTAGAGCGTAAACAAGACAGGGGAGATTACACAGCCTTGGGCGCACCGGTGTTCGTGAATATTAGGTCGGATTTTACACCATTTAATTTTACATATTGAGGTCGATTGGTTAAGAACTCAAGAATCCAAGCTATAATGTTCTTGTTTATGTTCATGTTAATTGTTAATTAATTTTGAAACCATTTTGTGCGGTTGGATTGTGTTGAATGCGGATGAAAAATCAGCAAAAAGTTTCCTGCAGTAATTTCTTGGTGTGTCTATGTGTTTGTAGATGTTATCTAAGAACACGAGAATGGCATCTTCCACGCCCCTCTTGGCACGATAGGCAAATTGCATGTTATCCTGTATGTCTTCTGTTGATTTTCTCAGTTCTTTAAAAACCAGTTTTTCTAAACATTTCTTGAGGACTGATGTTAAACTTAAAGCGACAGGTCTTAGGTCGTTCTAATTTTGTTTTGATTGTTTCTTTGGAACAGGAATTATTTCAGAGCATTTCCATGAGAGTGGTATTATTCGTTCTTTCAAAGACATATTGAAAATATCAGTATAAATGGGAGATAACTGAGTAGAACACATTTTAATAATTTAACTTTTTACTCCATCGGGTCCACTCGCTTTGTGAGCTTTCAGACGATTAAACATGATCTTGACCTCATTAACATTAACCTCAAAAATTTCCTTGCTCTTGTCATAGTCTTCGTCTGTGTTGTTTGGGTAGTAGATAATTTCTTTTTTAGATGAATGTAGGTCTTCACAAAACCTGATGTAACCAGCGATAGTCTCACATAATTCATATATATATACTATTACATGAATCTTTAAAAACATTCCAATTCGTACATTCAAAGCAACCTCTCAGGCTCTACCTGTTTTCTTCACTCCAGATGGTGACAACTTTTTAAATTGGCTTTGAAGATTTTAATTTAGGTTTGTACTTCGGTAATAAAAGAGGCATGCAATGATCAGAGTTTCCTAATATATGAATCATGACACCCAGACTGGTTCTTGATAGTCGAAATTTTTTATCTAGGCCCTTCCGAACGCTCAAAGCAGGATTAATTTTGTATATAAAATGAGAGGAAAATATTATAATAGACTGAAATACTTAAGTCAAACTAGACCCCAGTATGACACTGAACACTGACATGTTGTTGACTGGATACATGTATATTGTACGCGTGTGTGCTCCCTTTTTCGAGCTGGTGAGCTAGTACATTTTTTTCAGGAAATATTGCTGGACACCCAGAACATTTTACTAGTTGGTCGGCTGATTGTGGGGAATACACATTTTCCCCTGAAAATATACATTTTTCATATTTCCCTATACTTATTTCGGTTTTCTGTTGTTGGCATCTCTGCGGGATCACATCGAACTATGAACTCTTCCATGACCATTGCTACAGTTTTCTCTATTCCCGAATTTGCGTGACAGACTGAATTTTATTTGGTGTGGTCACAAGCTAATGATGCATAACGACGAAGGCGGGGGAACTCGGTCACAGATGGAAAGCTGTAAATTTTTGGCAGGTAAAGGGGAGGGGCAACTGGATAAGCTTAGATCTTGAGATTCATGGTAGGATAAGTGAAAATTGCACGCCTCATGGCACTTTGCACTGTGATAGGTTATCAAGGTTGACCACTCTTTGCACGCCGTATGTCATAAACCTACCCAGGGGTCAAGTCAGTTTAGTTTAGAGTGGAGGGAGACCATTTTACCGATTGTGAACCTTAACATGGGTCACTGTAGTTTCTCCCCTGGGTTCGTCGGCTTAGATCCCTCATTTCCTTGCTCTCGAGCACGGGGATCTTAGGTGGAGACTACTGTACTACCTCAGGAAAAAATTCATAAAAAATTTTCTAGCAGGTTTCGGAAAAATTCATCTCGCAGATGTGTAGATCTATTGTTTGTTAAGATGCATTTTTAAAAAACCCAATTTATTTCCATGAAAAATAAGTGCGGTATTAATTAAGTAATACATGTCAACAAAATCCAATATGGCCGCCGTATCCATGGAAACAATATTTTTTCTCTATTTTGGACTCCTTATTTTGGAGCTCATTATATCTAAAACCATAAAGATAAATATACAGAAATACTCTTAATTTGATGGTTACGAGACAGAGTGATAAGAGGAGCCTACATGAGTTATAAAACAATCCTTTAGAGAATATCTCTAACTATTCAATATTCACTCATCACTCTATGGACAGCTCAAGCAAGGGCACTTGACTCTTGAAGCGCAGTGAATGTTTATTTCCATGAAGTTAGCTGTCGCAATGAGCTCCCTTAACCCTACTCGAAATTCGAAACGCTGTGAACGGTGACGTGATGTCAACCCGTTGCACTGTCTGCGGATATGCAACAACAACACATGCGCGCTCAGTGACTGGCGTTGAACAGCGCAAGTCAGATCTGGACTATCACAATAATGTAAGAAAAAACGATTCGACAGCGCTTCGAATTGCGGAAGTTTGATCCGGGCTTATCTTATATAAGAAAAAACTATTCAACGGCGCAGTGAATAGCTGAAGTTAGATCTGGGCTTGTCACATAAAAAGAAAATACGATTCGACAGCACTTCGAATTGCGGAAGTTAGATCTGGGCTTACGTTGTATAAGAAAAAACCTTTCAACGGTGCTGTGAATAGCACAAGTTAGATCTGGGCTTATCACATAAGAAAATACGATTCAACGACTCTTCGAATGGCGGAAATTAGATCTGGGCTTATCACATGTAAGAAAAAACCATTCGACGGCGCAGTGTATAGCTAGCGAATGTAGAATAGCGGCACTTAGGGCTGGGTTTATGCTTATCATAATATATAAGAAAAAAAAACATACGACGGAGGTATTCGAATGTCATGAATAGTGAGCTCATGCTTCGAAGCTTCGATGATTTTTTGTTTATTCAAAATCGCACAGCACTAGTCGACACAAACCCAGGTTGGCAAGAACTGTTCAAGATATATTATGGCATCAATGGAACATTTTTTTGTGTATGTGCTCCTCTTATATTTGATTTTCTTATTTCTCCAGTTTTGGGTGCAGTCATTGGTCAACAGAAAGGGCGAAAGATTGAAATCATGAACTCAATTGAACTTTTGTTTGATGAGGTGAATGGTGATGTTGTGATTGACATGGAATACTACAACTTGAAAGAAGGCCAGTGTGAGTACCGTCCGTATTTTTCCTGTAATATCTTAATATATGCTTTTTTTGTCATAATATTAAAACACTTTTCATATTATATATACAGTCGAACCTGCCCTGACGGCCACCTCTATAAGACGGCCACCTGTACAAACGGACTCTTTCCATTTCCCCCTTTGCGTTTTTTCTATATAATTTAACTATGTAAAACGGGCACCTGTTCAACGCGGCCGCGGCCACCATATTTTTAAACACAACCCCTATCACAATAAGCAATAACACCTGTCTTAGACAGCCACCTTAGTGACTCCATTACGTTTTGTCATAAATTGTGCATTGGCCCTTGGCGTTGTGGGCGAGCCGTCATAATTCAATCCCCTGTCGTTGTTGTTAGGTAGTCCTTCCAACTGATCATGTTGCATAGGCCCCTCCCACTGTTGACCAATAGCTTCCAATTTTCAGCTTCTGGTGAGGTAAGCGTGTGATCCCTCATAACCCATAAGCCCCGCCCAGAACTCATGCACAAATCCTAAGTGAGATGAGTGGTCACTGTTTACCCAGTCTGTAACAAAGTAACAAAGGATGTCAACATGAACTTGTGACAGAAGCATCGCTCGTTCTCCGATTGGTGACGACCCATGTGTTTGTTTTAACATGCCACTCGGTCTTCCTCGTCTGATACATTTCGTTTTATTGTCACCCTTATGAAAAATCAATAACAAAATAAAAATTACAAACAAAATACCGACAACAACAACAAAAACAACAACAATGCTGCTACTTTCGATTGGGACCTCAGATGAGAATGGTTTGTTTTCTTCATCTTGATCAGTCCTGCCTAAGACGGCCACCTGTCTTATACGGCCACTTTTCTCCTTGACAATGGGTGGCCGTCTTACACAGGTTTGACTGTATATAAAGTATTTTCTTTCTAGTCTAATGATATAACGATATGATGGAATTTGAAGATCATATTTAACTTGTCGGGAAAATTGATTAGGCACATTATAGTCTTTTAATGGCTCATGTGTTACAACCACACACACCCCACCGCCAGTACTGGGTTTCTTGGTAATAATTAATAATAGTAGTTGCAGTATTAATTAATTGAAAGATTAGCATGTAAAGATTAATAGTACTGAATCTGTCACGGTAATAATGTTTTTACTGCTTCTTATTTCATTCCAGTCAAGCAAGTTTTCAGTGAGATGGACTTCTTGGGATGGTATTCCACAGGGGATGGACCAACAGATTCAGACATCAAGATTCACAAACAGGTTTGACTTTTATTATGGTTGTGGGCTTCAGTTTGTTCTGTATCTGAGATCAAGGATGGGCTAGCGAGAAATATCTTGACTTTTTCGCCATTTTTTCTTTTCTTCATCATTTCACCTTGACCGATGTCAGGCAGTTGTAGATCTAGACAGTGAGTCCACTATCGCGGAGATATAAAACTGCTGTCCTGGCCAACAAGCACTTAGCTGAAAATGAGTGCTGACAGTAGGAATGTACATCCCCTGGCGATGAAGAGGTTAAAAACCCTTTATATCATGTAGTATGGTGGTTTAAAAAACAATTTTTAAAAAAAATCTTCATCATGAATGAGTCTTTTTTATCTACTTCTGAAAGTTTGTATATTTTGACTTGTAATGTGAATATCAGTGGGGGCTCTCGTGGCCTAGAGGTTAAAGTGTTGGCCTCTCATTCAAAGGTCCCGGGTTCGAATCCGGGTAGCGACCGAAAAATTTTCTTTACTAAATTTGTCTCCTTTCACCTCATTTCCTGCTCTCTAGCAATGTTCTGTCGTCTGCTTTTGTCTCCTCTTTCTGCCCCCGCTCCCTCACCTCCTTTGCCCCTTCCTCTGGGCTCCTGATTCTTTCTGCAGCCTTTCTACTGCTACTCCTTCGCTTCTTCTTACTGCTGTCTTTCAGCCACACCCCTGATCTTCTGGTAGGAAAGATCTACACCTAGCCTTCTCGGACAAGGGCGTAAAATCTCGGAGGGCTCGTGTGTAAGTTGCGCACGTTAAAGATCCCTTGGTGGTCTAAAATCGATAAGAGTAGGCTTCGGCCGCCACCCGGACAAAATTCAAAATTTCCTACCAACTGAAAATATTAGGTGTGTCCCGCGCGCTCATATGACCTTGCAATTGCTAGCGCTGCAAAACACTTTACAAAAACAAACAAAAGAATATCAGTGTAAATTTTTCATTGTGAACAACTGTCATTTAGAGTGTCACGTACTGAAGGTGTTGTTTATTGATGAGGACTTAAGCTCTCACATTTGGAAAAAAGATAGGACATTTTTGTCACTTAAACTTTGCTACTATAAATTTTAATTGATTCTTTTAACAAATTAAAACATTTTATTGGTCCGTGTTGGGAAATGTGGGTTACAATGGCAAACATACATAGGTAAATACATAATTAGAAATGCGTACATACATGATACATAAATACAATCATAAATGCATACATAATTATACAATATTACACCAATACAGAACAATTTCACAAACATGCCATTGCTGGTCGCCACAGTACAGTTAGCTAGGGTTGTCGTGTAACATATTACGTTCCGAAAGTCTCTTGTGTGTCCTTACCCCTGAAGTCAACAATTTTGTGTAAATATTCATAGAGGAATTTTTATGTTCTTTTAAACCTACTACTATGTTGCTCTTTTAATGTTCTCCAGTTTTTCTCGATCAATGAGAGCCCGGTGTTCCTACAGCTCAATCCCCAAGCCAGGACATCTGACGTAAGTGTAGGGTGGCAAGTAGAATCTCAGAATAAAGAATGTCTTTTGAGAGAGTACTGGGATCAGTTTTTCACTATAATCAGAAATAGAAGGGCACGGTGCCCCCATTCCATTTAACTTTGCAATGCCACAAACTTTTCAAATTTTGTTTTTTGTCTTTTTGACAGACTTGTTGAGTCATGTTTAGGTTGCAGGTTATTATAATACAGAAGCAATTTTTCAAAGTATATTTCCTATTAATGTATTTATATGAGGCAATTTCCTTTACTTTTACAAAAGAATACGAAAAACATTTGTTTTTTCATTATATCTTGTCTCACCAACTGAAGGCATTTTCAACAGGGGATGGTCACTGAAGTGTTTGTGTTTCTGGGCCTCAAAGGGTACTAAGGGAGAAAAATCACGTTTAAGATAAGGCTCATGTCTCGTCCAATGATATAGAATCTTTTTTATTCAGCCGACATGATGATGATTGCTGTTTGACATGATTGAGTCAAAATGAATCTTATGATTTTGAAAAATAATCTATTTTGAAGCATTTGCATAAAAAAAAAAAAAAAGCATGCAATATATTTTAAAAATTGATATTACTGGTAATAAGCCTCAAAAGTTGCATATTCGGCCAAGTTACTTATGTTCTGATGTATTTCAAAGCTAGGATGAATTATGTGTTTGTGGCTTTCACAGTGTCTGATAGTTGTTACATAGTGCTTTTTCTTTCCCCAGTTGCCGATTTCATTATATGAATCTGTGATTGACTTACTCAAGGGAGAGGTAAGATTTAGACAACAGAAATTTCCTAATGGAAAATTTGAGGAGCTCTAGGAGTAGGCGCAGTCATATTTTGAAGGAGAATATGTGAAAACTCAGGTCAAAATTAAATGCATTAGTATCAAATGTGGAAATATTTTTGTTAAAGTTGGAAAATTTTGCTTGCTCAACAATTGTTTTGTCTTCCTCATCAAAAAAAGAAAAAACGTCAAATGACCACCAAGAGTAATCTTCTGTTGTTCAGTATCACACGCTGAGCAGCACAGTTACTCATAGCCCATTCAACCTTTCTGCGACCAACATCATGGGAAGACTCTTTAGGCCCGCAGAAGATGAGTTGCATGAGAATTAGAGCTGTACCCCGGTAGCAAAACCACTTGTGCTTGCAGCCCCTAGTTCAAGTCACAAGTCCCTAGTTCAAGTCACAAGCCTCAATTCACTAGGTCAAATCATCAAATCAAATCACCAGCATGATAAGTTTGAGTCCACACCAACTTGCAATCCGTGAAGCCACTCAAGTCAGACCCCCTCGTCCTCCCCACCCTGCTTGCAATCCGCGCCGCGAAGCCACTTACGTCAGAAAAAGAGAGAGGGGGAGAGAGAGAGAGAGACCCCGCTCAGTGTCACTGCGCTGGAGTCTGCTCGATTAATCGAAGGCTTGCTTGCAGCGGACGGCTGTCAAGTCTCAAATCCCGTCCGCAACACAGTACCGTCCGCAACACAGTAAGACACTTGCTTGCTCACAACCTAGCAAATCACCTGTGCCTCACTACCGCGTTTGTAGGGCAACACCGCTCGCCAGCAGCAAGCAGCGAGACCGGTAGAGGCGGTAATCGGCTAATCCACCCCGCCCGCAGCGTGAACTCTGAACTCTGGACCGTGGAGGAAGCGAGAGGCTTCGCTGGTTTTGGTGCAAGACGAAGATGGCTGTAATAGCCTAGTCCAGACCGTTCGCTACCTCAGTGCTTTAACAGTGAAAATGTGACATCTTCTTGGGCTCACATTTTGTAATGAACTGTTTTCATTAGTATTAAAAATGAAGATACGACAAGAAAGCACTGGGGTCGCGGTATGCTGAACTATTTAAGGACGCAGAATAAAGGCGTGAACTTACAAACAATTTTAACCGACAAAGTAAATTGTCAGCATCCCATGGCTTTTAATTTAATCACTCGCCTGAACTACACTCCCACCCCCACCCCGACACTTAGAACTAGTTGAAATTAAAGATATTGAATTTGGGGTGGGGATGACAATTGTTTATATATTTATAATCTCAAATTACGCCAAGAAAGTAAATAATGAAAAAC